CCATTTGGGAGCACAATTTTGCTTAGTCTGGGACTTTAAATGAACATCAGAAGTCTTTCTACTTACTTTGTAACCACTGCATCTGTTATGATGTGATCACTCTAAAGCAGGGATTCTTAACCCAGAGCCTGTGAATTTGTTTTGAAAATATTTTGCTAATTATAAAATTATTTCAAAATAATTAGTTTAATCTGTAATCCTATGTACTTAATTTTATGTATAGAAAAATATAAATCTGGGAAGGGATCCCTAGGCTTCACCAGACTACCAAAGGGGTCCATGACACAAAAAATGTTAAAAAGCCTACCTTTAAAGTAAACAATATGTAGAAGTATTTACATAGGCATTCCTTACTTACAAAAAAAGAATCTCACCTCCAGAGATTAGTTTATTATATCATATCCTTCCAAACTGCATCAAAATTCTAGTGAAGTGCTTTCTTTTCAGGTTATATGCTTATAAAGCATTTATTGAACTGAATTAGCTACAATGCTTTAGTATATTTTACAAGGTTATAAAACATTAACTTAAGAGTTAATTTTACAGTCTTTATTAATTCATAATTTAGCATCGTACACTGTCCTCTCCTTCCTATTTCCATTCTATTTCTCAGTTCCTACCTTTGGACACTGTTGGCAATGACTTGTATTTGCAATTAGTACCAGTTTCTAAGAGTTATTGGAATATTCTTCTTCACAAACATAGCATGCTCATAATATAACACAAATATAAAACCATTAACCAGTCACATCAATATAAGATTCACAACCATCAGTGGATATGCTGTGTACTTCCATAATAAAAACCATACGTTTTCATCACCATCTCTTCAAATGCCTCATTATACTCTAGTTACCTTTTCCCCTAGGCCTCTCAAGAATTTTCACTGAGAAAACATGTGGAGTCATTTCTTTGGCAGACATCTGGATAGGTTACTAGTCCCAGAACTAGTCTGGACTGTAACTTGAGAGATCAGATAGAGATAGAGATTTGGGAATCATCAGCATAAAAGTGCTAGCTAAACTGATGAGAAAAATGAATGTTTTGAGAGAGAGAAAAAGCCGAGGTCCAAAGACTGACTTTTGAGGGATGCCTATATTTAGGTGGAAGAAGAAAAGGGAGTCAGCAAAAGAAATAGTAAGAGAGATAAGAGGAGAATCTGAATTAATTGGCACGGAATTCAAATCAACCACCATTTACTTATTAAGCACCTACATGTACATTTTGTTAGGCAAGAGACATTTTGGCATACTGAATAGAGATTGCAGGGTCAGGATGAACTTGGTTCCAGTCCTACCCTTATCACACATTGACTGTGAGCTTGGGCAAGAAACTTAACCAGAGGAAGCCAGAGACTTCTAAGAGATGAAGGTGAAGGAGAGCATTCCAGGCATGGGAAACAGTCTATTAAAAAATGGGAAATGTAGGATTGTGTATGAAGATCACTGGGAATGAAAAGACAAATAGCCCTTGCTTACCATCTACTAGAAGCCAGGAAAGGAAGTTTTCAGACCCACAGATTGGTCAGAGAGAATGAGAACCAAGAAAAAACAACAGTTAGATTTACTGGATTGAATATCAGTGTCTGACTTAATGTAAATAAAACACCTGGACAATTTCGTTTTTAACTTTTATATCACATAGAGCTATAAACCCTAAGAAGATCCAAAATCTGTAACAGATATTTAGGTAAAAGTAGGTTTATTTTGAAATACTGGTTGAATATCTATTTAAATGTGGGGGGAAGGGGGGGTTATGCCACCAGTTCTTAAATACTCTAAACACTGGTGTCACACTCAAATAGAAATCCCTGTGGTGTCATACTGACTTAGAAACCAAGTACTAACATTATCTATGTTGTACTGGGACAGCTAGGTGGCGCAGTGGATAGAATACCAGGCGTGGAGTAAAGAATAAATCTTGCAGTTTAAACTTGGCCTCAGGCACTTACTAGCTGTGTGATCCTGGACAAGCCACTTGACCCTATTTTGCCTCAGTTCTTCTATAAAATGAGCTGGAAAAGGAAATGGCAAACCACTCCAGTATCTTTGCCAAGAAAACACCAAATGGGATTAGGAAGAGCTAGATATAACTGAACAACAACAAGTAACTATTTTTGCTAAACATTTCCCAGTTACATTTTAATCTGGTTAGACTTGGAAATTTTGCAGGCCCATAGTTTGACACTTCTGCTCTAGACAACTAAATTTTTAAAGGATCGATCACATTTTCAGTAGAATAAGATTAAAAATCTTCATAAAAGTTTGAGTTGCTGGGGTCAAAAATTAGACAGCCAAGACACCTTGATTTCTGGAGGTCTGATTCCAAGATAAGATAGTTTTAGAAAAAAAGGAACTCTGTGACTCCTGTGAACTTTTAAAAATGTTTAATTTTTACAGTTTTTAAAATTGTAAAACTTTTTAAAAAGTTTTTAATTTTACAGCTTTTACCACTGCTGTACTCTGATTATTTGTGGTTTTTGGTATGCTAAATTAGAGCTTCATTATAACACCATTCAATATATCCTAAAATTCTAAGTGAGTGATTTTATTATTGAAAGTACAAAAAGGATCTAATTATATAGCACTGTTCCTCAGAAGACCCTGCAACATGAAACCCAAAGGCTCCAGTTATTTGTTATTATTAAACCATAGAATTTCATAGTTGGGAAGCACTTCAGTGGCTATCGTGTCTAATCCCATTTGCAAGAGAATTATTAAGGATACAAGAAGAGAAATCAGAATTGTTTCGAGTCTTACAAGCTCAATTAGAGTCAATTCAGTAAAGAATTCACTAAGTGAATAGTAAAATTCATCTGTGGACCACTGTTTTTGCATTATTTAAACTTTGAGCCATTTCTCTTAACTAGAAATCTTTGATCCTATTATTCAACTTTATATTCCAACATCAGCTTAAACTCAACGTATGCAAAATACAACTCTTTGCCCCTAAACTTTTAGCTCATCCTCCAAGTTTCTATATGCCTGCAGAGGGCATCTCTCTCTCTTCTCATAGTCACCGGGATTAAGAATCTTGGCGTCATCTTCGACTCTTCCCCCACATCCTTTCATCTTCATCTTCACCCGGGCACTCACTCTTGCCGCTCCGCTCTCCAAAGCTGACCACCCCAGACTATGCTTGGGAGGAATCAAGCCCCTAAGCTCTGCAGTGCCTGCAGCCTTGGGCCCTTATCTACACCCAGGCCATGCCAGCCTTGCTACAACGTACCCTCCCGAATCCCACTCGTTTCTTAAAGAAAGCCACAGGCTGTGCCTCTGCACACACCTGGAACGGGCTCCCTCATCTCTGCCTCTCTGGGCTAATTCAGGTGTCACGAATGATTTCTCTCGCCAATAAATCAATAAGCATCATTAATTCCCAGGTTCCAGTGGGCTTTTCCATTTGATTTCCATTAGGATGTGAGCTTCTTGAGAGGAGCTCTTCCTTTTCTATTTGTCTCCCCAGCACTTTGCACACTGGAAGAAGGAAGGGAGACCCCAGCAGATATTGATAGCGCCTACCACGTTCCAGGCACAGTACTAAGGGCTTAATAAAAACTTCATTCATTCACAAACGCTTGTTGACTTGATTTGCAACCAAGAGTCTGGAGGATTAACTGTGTCCTGAAATGCGGGAAGGCCAGCCTGAGCCTCGGAGGCGGAGATGATGATTACGCCTCGAGTACTTTTCTGGGCTCACGGAGGAGTGCTCACCAGCGGGTGCGGCCCGGGCCTGGCCCCGGTCCCACCTCCCCGCCCTAGGGACAGAGAGTGACGGTCGTCCCACAGCTCCCTCGGGCCCCACGAGGGAATCCGGGGCTTTCAGATCCCTTATGGAAATAACGAATCCCTGAAGTCTGATGACTAACAGGCATGAGTCGAGGGAGCTGTCCAAGGGAAGGAAGGGAGGGGAGCGAGAGGAGGCCGGCACGGACTGAGGCATCTAGCGCTCCGGCCCGCCACCACCTCCGAGCTCCCTCCAGGGCAGCTGGGGCCGTTTGGCCCCAGTGTGCCGCCGTAGAAGCCCGCTCCCCGGGTCTCCTTGTTCAACATGGCTGCCGCTCCCCGCGCCCGAGGGGGGCGCCCCGGCAGCACGGGGGAGGACCTCGCGCTGTGGGGCTGACGGCTGCAGAGTCTCTAGCCTCCCTCTCGTAGCAGCGGTGCGCGCGCAAGCTCCACACCTCCACCTTTACCTCCGCCCTCTTCCCCCGCCAAAACACCCCTCCCGCGGGGTGGGGCGGGGGCGGTGGAAGGGAGGTCCCTTCCGGGGGCTGGGAACTCAAGGGGCCGCGTCACGCCTGGCTCGGCCCCCGCGGCTCCTCCTCCTCCTCCTCCTCCTCCTCCTCCTCCCCGCTCCGGGCACTCCTGTCTCCGCCCGCCCAGTGGGGGGTGAGAGGGGGTGGCCGCAGACCCAGACGGCCTGGGCGACTCCTCCGGGATACTCCGTGGCCGTGGCTGGGGAAGGAAGGTAGCCCTGCCTGCGCCGCTGCTCCCCGCCCCCCACCGGGGTGGGTCACCCCACCACCCCTGCTGAGAAAGGGTGGGAAGGAAAGAAGCAGCCGCGGGGGGCACCATGTTCTCTAAGCCGCCCCGACCCACCTTCAGGTCCTACCTCCTGCCGCCGGCGCCGCCGCCTCAGGTAAACAGCCTCCCCTCCCCCCGCCGCCGACCAGCTCCAGGACCGGGGGAGGGGGTGGAGAAGGGGGCTCCCCTCCCCCCACTTCAAAGTGTTGGGCTCGCGTGGGGCTTGGGGGGGGCGGGGAGAGGGTCGAGACTTTTCCCCCTTTGACTCCAGTGGTGCGGGCTTCGCGTCTTCCAGGTGGGGAGGAGGCAGCCCACGAGTCCCGTGTCCCACTCGCGGAGCAACCCCACGAGGAGGCTTCTTCCTTCCTGTGGTGGGAGCCTCACCACCCTCACACAAGCCCCCGCCCAACATCCCCACTCAGGTTCGAGCCCCCGACCCCCCAAACCACCAACCGGGTCCGGATCGGAGAAACCCACCTTGTCTCAAGTGTCCCCCCACCCCCGGCCGGTCCCGGGGAAACTTTTAAAACTCTTCTGCCGGGGCAGTGAGCTCTCCGTCGGCGTCCATAACGCTGCTGCTTCGCTAGCGCGGAGATCGCCGCTTGGACTCTCTGAACCCACTCACGTCGCTGCCCCCTGACGGGCCATCGCGGCTTGGCCATTGGCTCTCCGGATGCCCTGCTGCTGCCGCCCGAGAGCGAAGGTTTCGTTAGAAAGGGTAGATAATAGCAACAGCAGTTGTAGCAGGGAGGGAAGGCGGTTGGGAAGGTTTCCCTCGGGTTCTTTAAATCTGGAGATCTGTCTTTCCAGCAAGAATTCTTAACCTTTTTGGGGGCCGTATCACAGACCCCTTAGGCAGACTGGTGAAGCTTATGGACCCCCTTCTCAGAGTGTTTTTCAAGGCTTGAAATAAAATACAAAGCAAGCCAATTAGAGTGAAAGGCAGTTATTGAAATGTTCTAAACTAAATTCACTAAACCGCAGGTTAAGACTTAACCTTTGTCTAGGAAGAACTCACTAAAAGATGAGAGAAGTTAAGGGTTTGTATCAACATATGGACCTTAGGCGTCAGTGACTAATGAATTTGGAAGATTTGCTTAAGTTTCTCATACTAAATAAGAAAAGAAACTTTAAATCAAAATTTTGAATTAAAAAAGTAAAAGAAATTCTTAAAATTTAAAGTTCCTCTAATGTATTTCAGGATGAAGATAAGAGGAATCCTGAACCCAAGATTAAAAAGCTGGAACCAGTGCTTTTGCCAGGTAAACATTAATCAGGACCTTAACTGGTATTCAGATAAGGCCCTTTCATCTGAATGCCTCTGTAGTGGGCTGTCATTAGTAGAAGGAAGGTCCTGCCCCTAGTTTTTCTGTCTATATCTATGCACTTAAGTATAATGGCTGATAGAACTTGTCAAGAGTCAGGATAGTATGACTATAGATTTAGAGCAGGAAGGAATGTCAAAGGTCACCTTTTATTTTACAGATAAGCAAACTGAGACCAAGGGAGAATTACACACAAGTAGTAAGTGGCAGAACTCTGACTCCAAATCCAACAAAAGCCATTTAAAAAAAAAATCTGGAATTAACTTTGTAGTGAAAAATAGTCTGCTTGGTTTTCATTTGCAACAGTGAGAATTTAAAGTAATAGATTACCAGAGAAAATATTAAGGTCATGCTTTTAAGAAAACTTTAACTGTTTTTCAGTGCCTGTGTCAAGTCTTTTTGGGTAACCGGATTTAGTGAATATAAGACTTTTTAGAGCTTTCCATTTATAATTCTGGTTTGTAATGGGCTTGTGTCACATCAGCATTACTTGCAAAGTTTCTTTGCTTAGGTTTCATTAAAAATCCTTAGTAGCATCTCTGACAGTAGGGGACTTTAGAAATTATCTAGTCTGTTGGTTTTTTTGTTTGATTTTTACAAAGATGAGGAGACAGGTTAGATAGTTTGTTCACTTTCACACGGATAGGTGATTGAATCCAGGTCTTCTGACTGCTGGTCTGGTACTCACTTTATTAAATTCGGTTGCTGATAAAATTGTTGGATTCTTTATGAAGTATTGAGAAAAGGATGTTGAACTGTTTAGTGTATTTGCAGGGGAAAATATCCAAATCTCTATGAAATTATGTTTGGATAAAATGCAACTGAAATACAAGTTATGTGTGCAGTTTTTGGAGTTTTTTTAAAAAAGTTATTTTCTACTATTCATTTCAACAATTTAACAGACATTAAGCACCTACTGTATGCAAGGCACTATACTGAATCTAAAATATTTCTGTTAAAAGTTCAAGGCTTGATTATAATTGAATATATGGACTTTAAATGTTGTTTTAAAATTTAATGTAGTATGTAAGAACACATTGCCAATACCAGCTAGTTCTTCCAAAGTGTTGTGTTAACTGCTAACAAAATGAAACTTGAATACTTAGCTAAAAATATTCCTTTTTTGTTAATGTTTTTCTTTTTTCTCAGAGTAAACTTACAAGAAAATTTTGATACACCTGTATGCTGTAATTCAACATATTCATAGCCACTTTAGAGACTTTTTGTATAAATACTATTTTTGAATATGAAGCAGTGCCACTTTTATACATGTGCTTATGAGCTATCTAAAATTTAGATTCTGTCCAAACAGGTAAAGATTCCAGATTTGGATTCTTAAAGATATTTTCATGGTTTATCAAATCATTAATAGGGGTTATATGTTTTTACTTGTTTTTCTAAATGCTTTTCATTTAAGCTATGATAACTAGAACCCTTTTTTCCCTCAATATGAATAATAATAAATACTGACCAAAAATTAGAATTAAATTATTCATTGAGTGGCCATTGCCTCTTCTTAAAAAAAATATAAATTATTTTTAATGTCAAAAATATTCAAGTCATTCTGTTTAGCTTGCAAATAGTTAGATTTTTGCACTTTTTACACTTAAAAGATTAAAAATTTAATTTTTTTTGCTTTAACTTTTTGAAAAATACATCATTTACCATTGTTATTCAGCAAACACTTAGTGACTGTGTGTTATGTTCAAGGCAATTTAGGTTATACAGAAATGATTAAAACCAAGATCCTTGCCCAAGACAAGACTCTCTATGTTTTTCCTTTTTCTTTCTTGGCTCTCTACCCTCAATTTTCATCAGTAAGACTTCAGGGCCACCTAAAGAGCAAGACTGTTAGACCTTTTTCTAGAAGATATTGAACAATAAATAGTACTGTCAGAAAGTGGCCCTGGCTTTTATTGAATCCAGAAACCAAGAAGAAACTTGGCCATGTTACCTGTGACTTCAGATAACCTTGTAAGCAAAAAATAATTGTCAAAAGATTAAGAATCATAATATTTAGGATTAAAAGGCATACTTGGTGCTGGGGGACTAAATTAGATAAGATTAAGACAATTCTCCTCTTTAAGGAAATTATCTCCAAAGGGGAAATGGATACACTTGATAAGTACAAAGCATGTAGATAGTATATTCAAAGGAATTTACTTGGAGGCAGGGAGCACACAAGACTGAAAGGATAAAGACAGGCTTTCTGCAAAAGGATCAGTTGAGCTCAGCCTTGAATGGAGCTAGGGATGCTAAGAGACAAGGTGAATTTTTGTTTTACAGATGAAAAAACTGATGCTCAGAAAGGTGAAGTCTCACAGCTGTGCCTAAAATTCTGGCCTTCTGAGTCATGGTTCAGTCTGTTTTTTACTGTCTCAGCTATCTTCCCTAGTATTGTATTATGTATATTGATTTTAACATTTAGTCCAGTGAACTAATTTCAGTTCACTAAATAGTAAACTCTTTAAGAATTAAAATATAAAATCAGAGATTCATCGAAGTATAGTAACTATTTACTTAGTTTGGACCAAATTCAGATGCTTTTAATCTTTTATCATTGGAGTAAAACTGTAAAAGAAGTGATTTGCTAATTTTTTTATGCCTAATATTTTTACACCTGTCATTTTCTGACATGTCATCTCTCCCATTGACCCCAGTTACTATATATGACAGCCTATTCCACACTCATTCTTGCACTTCTCTATTCAGGGAAGTATGTTCCCTCTTCTGTGTTTTGTTTTGTTTTGGTTTGGTTTTGTTTTGGTTTTTGTTTTTTTGCAAATAAACTTAGTGTTGTTTTTATTTGTTATTGTAGTCTTTATGTATATTATCCTCCTGATTTTGCTTTCCTTGCTCAGTATTAGTTCATACAAGTCTTACTTTGTTTCTCTGAATTCCTTATCTTTCTACTTCTTACTGCACAGTAATACTTTATATTGATATGCCTCAATTTGTTGAACCATTCTCTAAATGGTATTGAATCTAGTTATTTGCTACCAGAAATAGTGTTGCTGTGAATATTTTGTTATATATGTAAATCTTTCTGCTTTTGGCATCCTTGAGGTATATTCCCTCTAGTGGATCACCAGGACAAAGAGTGTAAACAGTTCAGTGACTTGTCTCCTGTACTTCTAAATTATTTTCTAAAGCTGTTGGAATCAACCATAACTTCTTTAGTAGTATATTAATGTATCATAGATAATCCAAATTGGTCTATTTCTCCATCTGAAATCATTTTACTACTTTGAGAGGTGTGGGTAAAACCTCAGGGTTGTTTTACTTTATACATCTCTTACTAATTAAGCATTTTTATATGGTTGTTGACCATGGTTCAGGAAGGACAAAGAACAAAAACTTGTAGACATGCCCATATATCATGAATATTTTCTTAGAGAGAAGAATGGCAAGTATCAAATCACATCACAAAAAATGAAATTTCCTGTATTTTAACAAACAGAAAGACTTGTTGTTATTTGAGTCATTCCTGAATCAGCTTGTCTACATACAGACTACCATATTGTCAGCAAAGATCAGAATTGGTAAAGAATGTAGAAAAAAGAATTATTCTGAGAAAAAGATGTGACATATAGTTGAAACAGTTCAATCTTGAAGTATTTAAATAATAATTGATAATAAAAATGGGTAATAGACAATAGAACGGCCTCAACACCAATTATGGTCATTTTATACAGTTTAATGTTTCAACACCAATTATGGTCATTTTATACAGTTTCATGTTAATCAGTTTTATAACAGTTTAATATTAATCGATATAACAAGGGAACCAAAAAGAACCCAAATGGGACATGAAAGAGTTCCTCAGCAAACATTTGGCATACTTGCCAACTGGAGAGAAGTGGTAGCCAAAGGCTACTGTAATTAAGAATATAAACTTGTTTGTAAAATCTCACCAATGATGATGGATTATGAGCATTATTGCCTCATAAAGTCAAGAGAAGCAGTGGGGGGTGGGAGATTTAAAATCGCTTAACAGAATTTTTCTAGAGATCCGACTAAGCACAGTCATCCTGAGAATATTTAATTAAGACAGTGGAAGCAGGACAAGTATAAAATTGGAAATCTGTAAGAATTTTTATAACAAACAGGACAATAAAATCTTAACACTTGCATTCTAATGTGACAACCTCCTATATGTTTATAGGAAAGGTGAAATTTACATTAAACAAGATGGGGAAAGCAGTTTGATTAGACCCAGTGTCTGTAAAGGAGAGCTGTGCTGAATGTGACAACATTGTGAGAATGTT